GGTTCTGACTGCCTACGCCTCTCCAGTGCTAGGATTAAAGGCAAGCGCCATAATGCCCAGCTAAAAACTAACAATATTCTTAAAGAACAGAAATCCATAGTTGCCTTTAAAACAAAACAAACCACTATAACATGCTTCAGACTCTCACATGTGGCAAATAAACCTGGAAAAGAAAAGGGAGGAAGAGAGTCATGAGGGAGAGAGTAAGCTTTGAGCCAAACAGGGAAGATTGAGCACAGGCTGGACACAAGGTTTTCAATTCTGCACTGCCAGACTCCTGCCAACATCACCCTCCTGTGGCAAATTTGGGCAGACTGCACTATTTTGTTAAGGCCAAGTCACATGAACAAAATTCTCTAGTTTATTCTAGTTACCATCTTTCCAGGCAGGACATATTAAACACTGCTAGGACTCAGCCCCTGAGCCTATTCATTGCACTTTGCACAAGCTCCACATGATCTAAAATTGCTGGTTCAAAGGCACGTCCATGAGGAACACTGTCCTAGACTAATTTGGAAACAGAGTGTCACTACATAACTCATGTTGTCGCTATGTAGACCAGGCTAGGCTCTTCTGGAACTCAGAGATCCACCTGACTTTGCCTCCTGAATGCTGAGATAAAAGGCATGTGCCATCATCTAATTTTCATTCTACATAAATGTTGGCTTCAAAGAACTCCTAGAGTTACATTAAAAACTATTAATCTCCATATGATGAACAGGACACAGAAAAGTCTAAGTGGCCTGTCCACAAACTTACTAACTGCTTACGTGGAATCCAACAATGTATGGGATGCTCCCTAGCATGAGTCAGTCATAGGATTGCTGCTTTGTCGCTCACATTTGAGAGACAGATGCAAGGATGAGTCACACAGTGCTCATACTACTTACTAGGCATTGGATAGTTTAGGAGTGAAGCAGAGAAGAGTAATACCCAAGAACAATGACAAACACAGTAGGCAACAAACACGTCACTGCACCTAATCATGAGCCTGAAATACATTCCCCACTGTAATAGAAAAGGATTCTTAGAGAATTTGGTGCCACCATGTTTGTTGCATGATAAAATGTTGTACTCAGATAAAAAGCAACTTTCCTACTTTGTGATAAATGTCATGAAGACTGCTATGCTTTTGTAATTCCTCATTTTATCAACTACATTTATTTTGTGTTATATTTTGAGATGGATGGGGTTTCCTCTAGCTCAAGTTAGCTTTGAAGCACCTTATGCAACCACAGATGATGCTGACTTTACCTTATCTTACAAGTGCTAAGATCTCATAGGTGTGGACCATATTTCATGATTACCCTCCACTTTTAGTTGAAGGCCTTTAGGGTGGCTGTGAGGATTTAGGCATTAAGCTGATCTGCCCGTCACCTGGCAAAATGCACTCAGGCAGTATTCTGGTCAGCCCAGGGTTCCATGAGTACTAGTCTGCAGGCAGGTGTAAAGGACCCTTTAAAAGTCAGACCCCTGTCCACTTCTTTTGTGCTCGTGTTCTCTCTCTCTTTTGCTTCTAGTTGGCCACCAGCTACTCCCCTCTTCTTCCCCCTCTTCTGTTCCCGGTACCTCTGTGTCTCTTCCCTTCTCCCTCACTCCCCTTTCTAAATAAACTCATTTAAGCTCTATCTGCCTAGCGTGTTATTCCCTCCTGCCTCGGTCACCCTCACCTGCTATGGAACCTGCTATGGTCTCCCACGTGGTACCTTACCTTGGGACCTCACTCACTTAGGACCCCCACTTCCCACCCCTTCTCCAGTTTTTATTCTTATAACTGTAACTAAAGAACAATGGTGGCTATATAAGAAATAAAGGAAATAAAAATTAATGTCCAAAGAGATCTATCATATGTAGCCCCTTTCAACTGCTCCTTCTATATGTAGGTGCAACACTTCCCTTGATTGACCTGAGATTCAATCAAACAAATCAAACAAATGAGACTACCAAGCCAGTTCTAAAAACAAAAACCAAATTTAGGTGTGTACCTCTGGTTTGGGCAAAAAATAAATAAACAAACAAACAAATAAATAAATAAATAAATAAATAAATAAAGTAAAAAATTTTAAGAAGTTGATATATAGACAAAAATAAAGAGGCACACTAGGCCTTGAGGAACATGCTTATAATCCAAACTCTGAAAAAGTTGAGGCAGGAGGATAGGATCAAGAGTTCCGGGGTAGTATAGGCTACATCTGAACACTTATCTCCTATAACAAGAGTAACAAGATCTTTAGAGCGCTTTGATTATGTCTGGAAAACTGTTCAAAAGTACTTACTTGGGGTTAAAGAGATGACTTGTCAATTAAGAGCACTTATTGTTCTAGCAGAAACCAAAACCCATGTAGGACAGCTTACAACTGCCTAAAACTCTAGCTCCAAAGAATACGACACCCTCCTCTAGCCTTCACAGGTCACCCCAACAAACACACATAAATTCAAGAGATCCACCTGCCTCTGCCTTCCAAAGACAGGTTAATATTATACTGATCAAATCACTCTAGATGAGGTAAAAACCAGGTGTCATGGCGCACACTTTTAACACCAGACTGAAGGAGCTTTGAGAATTGGAGGCCAGCCAGCAGCCCTCCCAAAAAAAGATAAAGAACAACGATTTCTACTACTTCCCTGTCCTTACTCATCTAAATCAGTCCCAGAGTGCCGAAGCAAACAGCTATAAGAAAACAGAAAATGAAAAGAAGCAAGATTCTTCAGCCAAACTCTGATGAGCATCAGTTACTGGAGGAAGGAGCATCTTAGCTACCATTAGCTACTACCATAGTTATGTCATACCATTTCCTTCCTTCCTACTGAATTTCCTCTATTTTCATTGTGTATCAAAGAACCATTGTGAACTATTTTCTATTAAGATGTTCAATTTTTTTCTCGGAGCAATATTTATACAAATGTGATAAAATCAATTCTTCACTTGATCGGGTATATGTCTCCCCATAAAGTACACACAAAGACACCAGGTTTTCCACTTTGGTTGAAGAAAGTCAGAACATGAAGAAAGTCAACAACATGAAAAAGACAGATGAGAACTAGGAGGCTAGGGAGACATATTAGTTGGTAATTTGCTTAATTTGCAAGCAAAGACCTGAGTTAGATGCCAAGAACATCTAAATAGCAGATGTGGTGGTATGAGCGTTTATAACCCCAGTGCTGACGGGATGAGTAGAAATAGGCAAACTTCTAAGGCTTACCAGTCTAGGCTATTTGGTGAGTTTCTGAGTTTCAAGGCAGTGAAGGGGGAACAGTAACAAAAACTGGCCCAGTGAGATAGCTAAATGGGGAAAGGCAAACTTGATAACCTGAGTTCAACCTCCAGGATCCATAAGACAAAGTAAAAAAAAAAATAAACAAAAAAAAAAACTGGTCCCTTGTAAAATGTCTTCCAAAAGACTTCTACTTGGAATGCACAAAGGTGCCTGAGAGACAATGCCCAGCGTCGTTCCCTGGCTTACACACACACACCCCTACCTCACATGAAAAGACGCACCATCTCTCCTCCTTCCCCCGACTCTTGTCTCTTTTATACAGCAGCATTGTATATAACTCAGTCTTGGAACCTAACACATGAAGCAAAAGCTTCAAATCCTGAAGTTCTGGTCCTCTGTCTTCACCTTCCAGCAGCTAGGATATCAGGTATATGTGCTACTATGCCTAGTTTGGTGGGGTCCAAACCCAACAACAGAGCTTCATATACTGTGTGAGTTCATAAAGAAACGTAATCCCTGCTTTAAAACTCTAAACTATGCACAGAATTAAAGTATCAATTTTATATAACTATTCTAAAAGACAAACCTTCCCCATTTATGTTGTTGTTGGCCTATTATGTGATATTTTGTTCTGTTTCATTCTGGTTTGTGGACACAGCTCAAATTCACCTCAAACTTCCAAAATTTCTACCTCAGACCTCAACTCTTTTTTTGTTGTTTTCTGAGACAGGGTTTCTCTGTGTAGCCTTGGCCGTCCTGGAACTCTCTCTCCTCTCTCTCCTCTCTCTCTAGACCAGGCTGGCCTTGAACTCACAGAGATCTACCTCTGCCTGCTGAGTACTAGCCAACTTATTTTTGAAGTTTGCATCAATTCAATTCTAAAACCAGACCCGAAAAACAAACTTTGTCATGTTAATTCACAATTACAATGCCAGTTCTATAAAGGATCAAAGCTAACAGCCATGAATTCAAGGACAAAATGGGCTAGACAGTGATTTTCAAGGCAGCCTGGGTTCCAGTGTGAGAGTCTATCTCAAAATACCAACCAACCAAATATCATACAAATTAGTAAACACTAAAGATCAATATCCCTCTTAAATACAGACACAAAAATCTTCAGCCAGCTGGACTATGTGGTTAGTGCATGACTTCAATCCCAGTACTTAGGAGGCAGAAGCAGGTGGATCTCTGTGAGTTTGAGACCAGCCTGATCTACAGAGCTAGTTGCAAGACAACCAGTGATGCACAAAAAGCAAAACAAAGCTGATTCAATAATTTAAAAAAAAAAAAAGGAAAAAGGGTCAAGACAGGATTTCTCTGTTTAACAGAACTCACTTTGTAGACCAGACTAGACTGGCCTTGAACTCACGGAGATCCACCTGCCTCTGCCTCCCAAGCACTGGAATCAAAGGTATGCACCACCACCACCCCACCATTGTAAACCTTTCTTAAAGGCTTTACATGTTTTACTTCAGATGTGAAGATCACCAACAACCTGATTCCAATTGAAATATAAGCATAAATTTAATGTATTTAACTTTACAAAACTATGCTTAAATAAAATAGCAAAAATGTTAGTTAATAGAGGAAATTAGAAAACAATAGATGAAACATTACAAAAGTCCTCTCCAGCTTCAACAACAATGATTTGACTAACGGACAATGTAAACTTGATTTTGTAAGAGAGCCTTCAAATGACTAGCCTACACCAAAACCTTAGTAGTGACGAGTCATGACCTCCAATCTGCATTCTGAACCCTTCCTTTTAGCTTTAACACTTACCATCAACCTGGCTGGTGTCTGAGCATGGTTTCTTTTTGGGCTCTGGGATCCCAGTTTTTTCATCACCATCCATGAGAGGAATATACTCAGTTTTCTCCACAGTTTCTCCCACAGTGTCATCATAGGGCTCGGCCTCCAATGTGGCAATGAAGTCTCGCTTTATTTCTCCCTCAATCTCTGGAGGTGGCTCTGTCAATGCATCTACAAGACTGAGGTCTGCCATTCTGCAGCACTGCAACTGCCTGTTAGGGAAAAGAGAAGTTCAGATAAACTCTGCGAATGAAAAATAATGAAACATTTCTAGAGGCGCTCTATCAGTTATTTTCAAGAGAATCAAAATCTACATTCGATGCCTTTTAGATGGTGAGGAAATAGTGTAGGAACACTTAGTCAAAGTGAGTAACTGCAGCTGACACTGTTCTCCAATCTCTCTAGGGCAGAAAAACCAAGGACTATTTTGTTCTTTTTACTTCTTTGAGGTAGGATCCTGTTATATGCAGCCCCATCTAGCCTAACCCTCAGCTCCCAGAATACTGGAACTATAGGAGTGTATAATCACACCAAGCTTCTTTTTATTAATAAAGAAAATAAAGCACAAGCCTGGCAGAAGTGATACCTTTAATCCCAGCACTCAGAAAGTAGAGGCAGGCAGATCTCTCTGACTTTGAGGCCAGCCTGGTCTACAAAGAGAACTCCAGGACAGCCAGGGCTACACAGCAAATCCCTGTCTTGAAACTGGCCCCCAAAATTAATTTTACTTTATGTATGTAAGTATTTTGCTTGCATGCATGTATGTTATATGTGCCACACACACTTGTGGTGGAATGAGGAGGGTGTTGGCTATCCTGGAGTTTGTGCATGCAGAGAACCTAACTCGGGTTCTCTGAAAGAGGAGACTGTGTTTAACCACTGAGCCATTTCTCCAGCCCTTAAATCAGGTCTTTTAACCTCAACTTTCATAATAACTTTTCAATTACTCCATATTTTTACATTAGGTCCCAAAATAGTTTTTTAAAGAATATAAAAGATCAGATTAGAATATTTCTATGAAAAAGACTGCAGTATCAGGCAAATAAAATCTGTTTTACAAGACAGTACAAAACCTTTATCTTGGACTGAGTATTGCCTCCTCATTCACTTGTAGATAGCTGAGTCAACCAACGACAACACTCAGCATTACTATCCTAGTATGAAAAATAAATTATTACAGCCAGCAATATGGGTCAATGGATAAACGCACTTGCCATGAAGCTTGCCAACTTGAGTTGGGACCCAGATTCCTATGTGATACTGGAGAGAAATCAACTTTTCACAAAGCTGCCCTTTGATCTCCACGTGTGCTATGAACACACACACAGTCTCTCACACACTCCATATACACATACACAATTTAATATTTAAAACAAGCTGGATGGTGGTAGCACACAACTTTACTCCCAGCAGTTGGGAGGCACAGGCAGTCAGACCTCTAGGAGGCCAGCCTGGTCTATAAAATGAATTCCAGGACAGCCAGCTGTTTATACAGAGAAACCCTATCTCAAAAAAAAAAAAAAAAGATTCTGTAATAAATAAATATCTTGAATGGAAGTATCCTCTGTGAGTAGAAAAGCCATTCCCAGAAGCCACAAGGTTATATAGAGTGAAAATCCTAGTGCCAAAGTAGTCCTTCTCTGGGAGATGTGAGCCAAGAAGATCCCTATAGCTCCCAAAACAATATAGGATATTGCCATGGAAGTTGGGTGTGCAATGGAACAGGATACTACCAGTGAAGACATCACACACTTTGGTTGGGGGGGTGGGGACAGATGAAGTTGTAACTAAATTGGAAGCTTCTTCCCTGTTGGCTGGATTTCATAGTCCCAAAAAGGTATTATCCTGGCTGATGGGGGAAGAGTTGTTACAGTCTTATTCAGGTATGGAGTCCCTGTGTGCTACACTACCCACTTGCCAGCATAAAAACTGTTACAGGGTTTGTAGTGCATCATTACACAGGAGAAAATTCATACTTGGAACTGTAAAACTTATCAAAGGCCAGAGGCACATGAGGTCATAGGCTGTATTGGGAAGACTACTGCTGTTTTGATGAGTAGACATGATGCACTAATCAAATTGCCTTCTAACCTTTTAGTCTGAGAACTTTTTTTTTTTTGGCTGTTGTTGTTTTGTCTGGGGTGGGGGGGTTGTATGCTTGTTTTTGGCTGTCCTGGAACTCACTCTGTACACCAAGCTGGACTGGAATTTAAGAGGTCCTCCCAAGTGCCAGGACTAAAAAAAGCATATGCCATCACCGCCTGTCAAAAACTTTTTCCAATAGGTAGCCATTACTGCAAAGACTCACATTGGTCAAAGTACTGGAAATAAATAACGGCTGAATGCTCAATCCTAAACAGGGCATCTGTATCAACCCCCAAAAGCTCAAGGAGCTTCAAGATGGGGTGGAAAGAATGAAAGAGCTGAAGGAGAGGACAGTGTTGTCCAAGTGCTGTAACAGGAGATGGCTGTGGCCTCTTGAACTTTCGCTCAGCTGCTTTTGATTACCTGCAGAAGACCTGAACAAAACTGATCCTGTTAACACTCATGAGGCCACACAATGACTGTTGCAGAAGAAAAAGATTTCTTCCAGTAGTGTATCCCCTGGTAAGTCACCGAAACTCTTGTTTAAAAAAAAAAGAAAAGAAAAGAAAGAAAGAAAGAAAGAAAAAAAAAAAACTCTTGTAAAAAAAATAACCTCTTATCTAAGCTCCTGTAAGTAACCCTTGGGCCATTCATTGGGCCATAAAATTTTAAACTAAACAGAAACTACCAAGATCTGCTTTATCACCATGGCAAATGCTAGAGAAGGTTTATCTACATATGAGCTGGGAGGAATATATATATGTATATATATTCCTATGTATATATATTCATATATATATATATATATATATATCATAAGTTAAAACAACACGAAAACTAATTTTGTGTTTATCTTATTGGTGGGACAGAAACATTGTCTCACACTATAGCTCAGGCTGGTTGGAACTCAAAGATCAAGCTGATTTAGAACTCAGAGCACTCCTCATGCCTAACTTCCCAAGAACTTGGATTCCAAGTGCAAGCCATGATGTCTGGCTTAAATACTGAATTTATAGACCTGCAAATAAATGTCTCAAAAAACTGGCTTTAGACGCTGCAGAGATGGACTAGCTGTAAGAGCACTTTACTTTCAACAAAGGACTGGGATTCCGCAACACAAATATGATGGTTTACACCATAGGTGGCACAAGCACCAAGATGTCCAACTGAGTGGTCTGCCAAGGAGCCAGCCACACCAGGAATTGGTACACAAGTACAGTCTATGAAAAGACCTACTAGAGTCATTGCATCCTATGCAGGACACACAGACTGTGGCTCTTGTGCTACCTATGCTTGCAAGGGGATCCAGCTATTACCCAGAGAATTTTCCTTGTCCTTCCCATCATGTTCCCCTGTCTCAATGTGCACTCCCTCTCCAGTGTGGATATAGACAGGACTGACTCCTCTGTATGACCTTTGTATTGACCAAAAAGATTTAGAGAGCTATGAAGCTAAGAATGTTTGAACACATGTCTCTGCAAACAGATGAAGATGTACTCATATTGAAATGCATTTGCCTTATACTGCTAAAGCCATGGCCAGCCATAAAGATGAGTTTACCATTATTCCTGTACTGGTTGGAGCTCTGAGAGAGTCAAAAGAACAGGAATTCGGAAAACTCTTCAGTAAATATCTAGTGGATCCTAGTATTCTCTTTGTGGTCTCTTCTGATTTCTGCCAGGGGAGATTTATAGATCCGTTGAACATCTAGATAAAATGGGTATTAGTATTATCGAACAATTAGGTCCTGTATCTTTTAGCAATTATTTGAAGAAAATAATTCCACATATATCATACTATATGTGGACGACATCCCATCGGGATGTTATTAAATGCTATCACAGAGCTCCAGAAGAGCAGAATGAATATGAGCTTTTCCTTCTTCATTATGCCCAGTTGAGCCAGTGTAGAAGTGGGCAAGACAGTTCAGTGAGTTACACAGCTGGAGCACTCGCAGTCCACTGAAGTCCCAACCCTCAGGGACGCCACCTGCACAGACTCACACTCTGTCCAGGGTCCAACCTAACCTTTACCAAGATGTTGGTTCTGGTATGTGGGGAATTCTGAAACCTCAGACTAATAGAACTCTTATCTTGTTTTCTAGTAGGTGTAGTCCTCATTTTTAGGGGTAGTCCTCCTTAATTTCAACTCATTTTTAAAATGCTTTAAAGTTTAGGGCAGTGGAAGGAAGATCAGAATATTTTGATTAAAAAAAAAAGATGACAATTGGCATACAGTGAAAATGACTTGTAAAGCATTTAGCACATCTTAAATTGGCACTCTTTGCAGACTCACACATTTATTCCACTTTCAGAATAATTTTGCAGATTGTACACAGACAAAAGAGTGAAAGCTTTTTAATAAAAGAAATTGCATTTATAAATTATCTGTATTAGAATATAAGAAATCTCAGGCTGGAGAGATGGCTCAAGGGTGAAGAGCACTGACTGTTCTTCCAGAGGTCCTGAGTTCAATTCCCATCTGTAGTGAGATCTGGTACCCTCTTCTGGTCTGCAAGCAGACATGCAGACAGAACACTGTATACATAATAAATGAATAAAACTTAAAAATATATATTTATAAGAAATCTCCAGTTACAACATGGTAGTTTTAGTTGCTAATAAAGGGCTACACAACAACAACAAAAGTTTATTAGCTAGGCTTCTTGGTACATGCTGGCAATCCCAGCTCTCAAGAGGCCGAGATAGGAAGATTCTGAGATGTCTTGAAACATCCAAAGCAAATACAAAGACCAAAATAAATCAGTAATAAAGTATCTTTGTAAATGAGAAGAATCTACTTAAAATGGTATTTACTCATCTATTTGTATACTTAATAAAGTTAACTTAAAATGGATTTGTAAGACACAATCTAAAACTGAGTCTGGCAGATATAGATGCTGTAGCCTTGATTAAGTAATGTTTGGAGACTTGAGTTTCCCTTGGTATGATGACCCATACCTTTAATGCCAGCAAAGAGGCAGGAGGATCTCTGTGATTTAGAGGCAAAAGCTTTGAGAGGGAAGGGAGAAAATTAAACTCAGAGCACCCTGCACTGTCTTGAACCAATGTGACTGAGTTTAAGAAACTCCATGCAGCTACAGCTCCATTAGCAGAAACCTAATACC